TTGAGATATTTTTTAAATGTTAATGAATTTACTCTCCAATGATATCCCAATTGGGAAATGATATATAGTAATCGATTTTTGCTTTTATTATTATAGCATTTATAGCATTATATTCCCATTTTTATATAACTTTCTATATATAACTCGTTTTTCCAATAATAAAGGACTTAATGTCTGAGAAATGAATCAAATATTTGCTATAAATATATAATCCACTTATAAATTGTATGCAGAAAATAGCGGTGCGTGTAATGAATGATTCAAATTATTGGATGATATGTTAGAAAATAAAATATTATTATTTGTTTGTTTGAAAGAAATCTATTATACAATGAAATTGTTAGTGAATAATAGTAATTATAATGAATTTGTGAGGCATTTCATAACATCCTTGAGTGTGTATGTAATGCTAATCGTATGGGAATCGCTCACTGATGGCATGTACTTAAGCCTTAAGCCATTGTTAGTTAGATAAGTGTTTTTTTAGTAGTGAAGTAATAATGCATTTACACATGAAAACCAGTGAATGAATGAACGGCTTATCGCAAGAATCGCTAAATATTTAATATATTTTCAGTTAATTTATTTTAGATAAAAAATTAATATTTGACTTCTTATACATTTCTTATTCATTTGTCTCCAAAGAATGACTTCTCTTCACACAAACCGATTTCATATGATTTCCATGGATTCAAAGTTCGTGTTTTATCACACAGTCGTTGAATGAATACATTTGGATGTGATATACAAATACCGCTATATTATAAAGTGTACACTTTTTTGTGGCTTAATATTAATATTTGAAACATCAAAGCAAATCAAAATCTCGTTTTCAACTTTTCTCGTTATATATTGTGTTTGTTTTTCCTTTTAAGTCTTGTTTTAAGTGTTGAGAAAAAGGTTTTTTTGTAGTGAAAAATATATAATTATTTACAATAAATATAATTAATAATAAACAAGAAGAAGGAGAAGAAGAGGACGCGAATGAAGCGAAACAAAAGTCCGGGCATTTCCCAGAGAGGGTACGTGTCCTCGAATGACAGCGGTTCCAGTAATGACGTCCAACCGAAACCCCCGAACAACACTAGAATCAAACAACACACCCGTGGCTTTAGTCAGGGCTCTTACACCCCGCAAGACATGGCCCACACTCTGGGCCGCACTTCCAATAGTTCAGCCGAAGATCACCTCAACAGCAACGACAACAACACCGCCGCCAATAATCATAGAGAATTGGCCACACATTCGGCCAATTTGTGCACAAATGGCAGCGGAGGCGAAGTGACCGCAATTCAGTCGAGTCTCCAGAATTTCAGTTCAACCGACGAATTGGATTCACTGTTACCGCACTCATCGGACGCCCAGCGGACGCGTGCACTCATTGAACACTTCCACACGAAGATTATTCGCACCAAAGAATCGATTAAAACCGAACAGAACTCGAGGGACGAGAACGTGAATGAATACCTGAAACTGGCGGCCAATGCCGACAAAAATCAATTGACAAGAATTAAGAGTGTCTTCGAGAAAAAGAATCAAAAGTCGGCCCAAACTATCGCACACTTGCAGAAGAAGTTAGACAATTATAACAAGAAGATTAAGGAGACGGAAGCGCGCGGACTGTCGGCCGGTCACCACAAGCAGACCCGCGAAATGTTGCGCGACTTCGGACAGGGACTCAAAGACGTCGGCGTCAACATCAAGGAAGGCGTGACCGGTCTGTCGGGCGGTGTGTTTGGTGTCATCCATTCGGCCGGAGAGTGAGTTTTATAATTATTTTTCAAATTTAAATATTGTTATATTGTGTTTGCGTTAACCAATGATTTGCATAAAAGCAAGAATTTTTGCTGATTTGTATGCAATGCTTACGTAATCTGTAAGACACTCTCGTTTGAGTCGACCCTCAACTTGACTTTGAAATGCTATAAATATTTGGCAATAATTGATGTAATTTTTGTGTTTGACTCTAAATTTAAATGCATTTCTCAGTTCAATGCTATTCCTTAATGCTATTCATTGCTTGAAATAATATTTTTTATTTCAATTGCATTTCAGGACTGTTATGACAAAACCGAAAGAGTTTTTTAAGAATCGTTTCGCCAGTACTGAAAACGTTAGTTCAGCAGAAAGTAAGTCATAAATAATATTTGCTTTTTATACGCTTTGATAATGTAATGACGGATTGATTGCATTGATTAATAACAGAGACAAACGAGGAAACGGTGGGCGCTGTAAGCGGTGCGACGAACGCTGACATTGAATGCGGAGACACAACCACTGGTAACAAATATGGTGTGAGTGGAGGCCAAACGGGCGGTCACTTCGCGCTGTCAGTATCAGTGTCAGTGTCGTGATTTATGTGTAGGCTACTGCTTTCGAGATCATACTGCAGCCCAAGGCCGGTAAACCCACGCGTGCGCCAGCGGCCGTGGCCGTGACCGCCGAGCAAATCAGGTCTCCGCAAGAACACAGTCCTTCAGGCGTCCACACATTTACCGCCGCCGCCCGACACTGCCGTCACGCCCACCGCTCTCATCGATATGGAGCAGATTGTCATCGAATTGAAAGAACGCCGCGAAGAATGTCGACGAATGTCCGAAGACGTGGATTCGCTGAAGAGTCAACTCCAGAACGAATGCTCTGTATTTCATCAGTCATTGCAAGAGGAAAGATATCGGTTTGAGGTATAGAGCGATACATCCTTTTATTTGTTTCTTGTTTTTTAAATGCATTGAAAGCAAAGTTTATTTTTTGTCGCATAAAATTGCATTTATTTCCTTTTTTATAAAAATTTATTATTAATTTAAAAATCCCTTTTTTGGTACATCTTATCGTTTATTTATGACTTGTTTTATTATTTTTACGAATGATTTATTTGATGTCATATTTTGTCTGAACAGAGATTCTTTTTTATAAAAATTTATTATTAATTTAAAAATCCCTTTTTTGGTACATCTTATCGTTTATTTATGACTTGTTTTATTATTTTTACGAATGATTTATTTGATGTCATATTTTGTCTGAACAGAGATTAGAGGAACAGATGAATGACTTAATAGAGTTACACCAAAACGAAATCGAGAATCTGAAGCAGAATATGGTTGATATGGAGGAGAAAGTCCAGTACCAGAGCGAAGAGCGTCTCAGAGATGTGCACGAAATGCTTGAAAGTTGTCAAACAAGGGTTAGTCTCACAGAAAATTATTTTTTGTTTTGCGCTTATAATTGGTTTATATTGTTATTATTATTATGATTTTGAATGAGATATAATTGTTATATAAACTATGGGATTACAGATCTCACGTATGGAACACCAACAGCACCAGCATTTGCAACAACTCGTAAATCTCGACTCATTGGAGAATTCAAACGCCAGAGCACTGGTCCTAAAGCTAATTAACGTTGTGCTCACTATTCTTCAGGTCTGTAACCCTTTTTTTCTTTCATTAAGTGATTTTTTATGGGTTAGAAAATTGACAAAATTTTTGGCACTTTGTTTTTAAAGGTTGTCTTACTATTGGTCGCAACCATTGCTAACATATTAGCGCCGTTTCTACAGACAAGGTTTGTATTCATTAGCGCATCAATTATGCAATAATTAGTTAAATACTTAATTTAATGCTTTTCTAATTGATATGTTTAATGATATTTTGACGATTAGATTACGAATGGTTACGAGTATAATCGTATTGTTCGTATGTATGGTGTTATTCCAACAGTGGCCTGACTTCGGGTCGTGGACTCGACGCAAGATATCGGAGAATTGGATCCACTATTCATCGACGCTCGACAGCGGTTGAGAACAACTTTTGATTAGATTTTTACCAACAGCACCAGCATTTGCAACAACTCGTAAATCTCGACTCATTGGAGAATTCAAACGCCAGAGCACTGGTCCTAAAGCTAATTAACGTTGTGCTCACTATTCTTCAGGTCTGTAACCCTTTTTTCTCTTTCATTAAGTGATTTTTTATGGGTTAGAAAATTGACAACATTTTTGGCACTTTATTTTTAAAGGTTGTCTTACTATTGGTCGCAACCATTGCTAACATATTAGCGCCGTTTCTACAGACAAGGTCTGTATTCATTAGCGCATCAATTATGCAATAATTAGTTGTATAATTAATTTAATGCTTTTCTAATTGATATGTTTAATGCTATTTTGACGATTAGATTACGAATGGTTACGAGTATAATCGTATTGTTTGTATGTATGGTGTTATTCCAACAGTGGCCTGACTTCGGGTCGTGGACTCGACGCAAGATATCGGAGAATTGGATCCACTATTCATCGACGCTCGACAGCGGTTGAGAACAACTTTTGATTAGATTTTGAATTTATAACTAAGAATTGTAAACTTGTATACAATCATTTCAAGACATCACTCCCCTATTGAAACGGCTATTGAATTATAACCATTTATTTAGTTGAAAAGACTTCCCAAACACACGCATCCCTTTCTCACACATACAAACATGTCTTGACTGGAAGTCTTGAAGTGATATTCCTGTTGTGATATCGATCCCAAAACGGTATTATAGAGTTTGTATAAACATCTATACATTTGAATACTTATGTATGTATTTTGAATCGACGCCAAAAAGTATACTCAAAACCAATACATAAACAAAATGTAATATTAGGAACAAAGTGCCCAAAAAATGTTTTGTTGATTACATCGATAAATGTAATGATAATAGAGGTATAGATTATAACTGTATATATTATAATATTATACAATATCTATGTATACAAAACTGATTTTGTTCTCATATTGAAAATATATATTCAAATATATAGCAGAATCTCCCAAATAGTATTGAACTCCCAATTTTGACAATGAACAAGATCATTTTTCTATATTTTTATTAATTTTTAAATACAGAATATATTTTAATTTTCTTTATTTTTTATTTGAGACGAGTTTTAATTTTTAATAAAACAAATTATAAATTAATTGTTCATATATTTTAAAAGTACATTATATTAATGCTGTCATTGAGATAACAAACGTGTCATTTCATTATTATAGCCCCCCTCTGCCCACTCTCTCGCCACACACCCAAACCAAACAGCAAAATTATATTTGGTTTAGTCAAACATAATTACATTAATAGTTTCAGTCGATATATTCATTTCATACCGGTTTTGCATATAATGTAAATATATTATTATAAATATGGTACGAATTATTTCCAAATAAATCTATTAATAAATCTAAATGTATATACAGTATCAAACAAATAATGCACTTGTTTTGTATTAAATGTTTCACTTATAATATGAGATATACTGTTTAATTTCAAATATTTGCCAAACATTTAGTGTATGTTTTGCAAAATTTGTATCGAAGACTCGATATCACAACCAAATATTAAGTCAATTGAAGCATAAGTTTTTCAGAGAATTGGATAAATAGAGAAATTAGATGTTGACTACTGTTTGCCAAATGGGAGAGACTATACGTGCACTTCAGGCCACAATTGGCTTATCATTCTTGGACTTCCATTTGGCGACATCAGTGGCTGCGGCCACCGCTTCCATCAACAGCGCCCGTAAGCCGTGCTTTTCCAAGTGATACATGGCGTGAATTGTACAGCCGGCCGGTGAACACACGTCGTCCTATAGGATAATACAGGCGTCCAAATCATACCTCTTATTATAATACAATACAATTTTCGCTTTTTACACATTCATTGCATCGTTAGATAACAGTTAAATAACTTATAGAAAAGTTTTTATCTATAGTTTTGAAGGGAAACATAAAAACAAGAAAAGAGTTGAGCAAACCTTTAGAGACGCCGGATGTTTGTTGGTCTCCAAAACCATTCGCGCAGATCTGTTGACAACAACAACAGCTCAACCAATTAGTATCTAATGCTGCTCTCAATTACATATATTTTTTTGCATTCAGTGTTAATAAACTCTCTGTGAATAGAGAGGAGAGGAAACATAAAACAAAAGAAAAACTGATACCCAATGAGCGTTTGTGCGACCAGTTTGAGCGATAGGTCTCTGGGTATGCCCTGTAGTACACCGGCATCGGCCAGAGCTTCCATACAGGTGTACATCTAATTAAATATAAAGATATTGCATCGGTCACATAATGTGCACCCCATACACCCTCCCCCACCACTACTACCACGTAATGCCCATATCTTACATATGCGGGTCCCGAACCGCTGAGTGCAGTGACCGCATCGATGAGCGATTCTGGCATTTCCTCACACATACCAACACTTGTGAATAGTTTTCGTACGGTTTGTGAGTCGGCTTTCGTGACGTTCGTACCGCACGAGTAGACGGACGCGCCTTCCCTTATAAGCACCGGTGTGTTTGACATCACTCTCACCACTCGACTGCTCGCTCCCAATGCCTGACAGAGAATTAAAAATTAATTTAAAACTAAATCAGCGCTCATATGTAATAAGCAATTGTGTTGTTGTTTCACTTTTTCAATGCAAGCGATGGGTATTCCGAGCGCTATTGATATTAATAAATGCTTTTCCGAGACGTTTGGCTGAATCTCCTTCAGTAGCGAAGGAAATACGTGGGGCTTCACAGCGAGGATCACAATCTCCGAGTTGTTAATCACATCGTTGTTATGATAAGTGGTTCTGCAGCCCAACGACTGTTGCGTTCATTAAGTAATTAAAATACATTAAATGTTGAGAGAAAAAAGTTGGTTAGAAAGGAGGGCTGAGAACGGGTGGGTTTGGGAGCGCTGTGTGAATAATACCTGTGAGTCCTGATGACACTTGAAGTCTGCTTTCGGAGCACTCGCTAGTATTCTGTCGGCTTTACATATACCTAATTGTAGTGACAAAAACGAGATTAACATTTCAATTAAGTAGATCGCATCCATAATGGGATGTCACGCATAATACCGGCTGTCACTAAGCCCTTCATTAATGCCTGGGCGATCTTCCCGGCGCCGATAAACCCTATAGACATCATCTGATCCAACAATTTTCACCGCAAATACCGCTATAATTATCACTCATTTATTGCAAAACTAAACAATGGATGAGTTTTTTTTGAGTTGGAAACGAATTTTTCTTCGGATATACCGTAAGAATAATCAAACAAAAAGAAGAGAAAAACTTTTTATTACTCAAAAAATGTTTAGTCAGCAAAAAAAGTATGCGATTTATGCGGTTTACGACCCAATTATACCAAATCAAAACCGGACTCCAATTGCAATGCAAACAAATAAATCTCAGTCAAAATGTAAGGTAAATCTTGATTATACCTGCGATCCGATACCTGTCTTACTATTATTACTACCAAAACCTAAACCCATAACTGGTATTCAATTCCTGTATAAACATGTTTAGCATTTTGTAGTGTTTTTGTGTGACGTTTAGTATTACTGTAATGTATATCATATCGCATACACTTGTGATGTAATATTGATTGTATGCTTGGATCACATGTTGAGAGCATGTCTTCTTCAGCCAAAGGTCAACAAACACTTAAAGTAAGTCTTGATTTTCATGTCATTTTAGGAATATTTATGAGATTTATATCATATATGAAAGTAATATTCATTTGTGTCGATACAGGTGTTATGTCTTCACGGCTACCGACAGACCGGCGATGCATTCAAATCAAAAAGTGGAGGATTTAGGAAATTATTGAAACATAAACTCAATTGCGGTCCGAATTTACCACTAATTCACACAACAATTAGATATACATATTATATATACACTAAATATACATACAATAATTGTTAGTAACGTTGCTAATTATTAGTAACATATAAATAATTAGTATAACAATAGTAAATATGGCATAAAATATGAATGTTTGTAATTATTAGACAATTGCTAGCATTGCTACTCCCATAGAGTGAACCAAATATTGTGAAATACAGTATACGATGAATTAGTTGACCATATGATATGATATGATATGATATGATGTCTGTTAACAATGTCTAACAATATATCATGATTTGCAGTATTCATCGACGGACCACATCTCGTGCCGACCGGTCCTCAAAACCCAGAGGGAGATGACTGTAAGACACAATCACTTTTGAATTGAATTGTCATTTTGATAATGGTTTACGTGTTTCACGGCTACCGACAGACCGGCGATGCATTCAAATCAAAAAGTGGAGGATTTAGGAAATTATTGAAACATAAACTCAATTGCGGTCCGAATTTACCACTAATTCACACAACAATTAGATATACATATAATTAGTAACATATAAATAATTAGTATAACAATATTAAATATGACATAAAGTATGAATGTTTGTAATTATTAGACAATAGCATTGCTACTCCCATAGAGTGAACCAAATATTGTGAAATACAGTATACGATGAATTAGTTGACATATGATATTATGTCTGTTAATAATGTTTAACAATATCAGTACTAAACGTCATAAGTAGCTGCCTGGTGTAGAGCACGGCTGGCCAGGAGTTTTGGGTCTCCCTCTACTGACATTCTGTGTTAGTGAAAACTTAACTTAACAGTAAAACTATTACCAAATGCACATTCAGCGAAGAGCTGGTGGTTTTCAGGTGTAAATCCTGATTATTTCAGTTCAGCTCAAGAATCAAATGTTTGCAAAGGGTTTGAGGAGACGTTAGCTTTGATAAGACATACCATTGAAACTGAGGTTTGATTCGTAACTAAATTGTTATTATTGCTGATACTCTCATATTATTTTTGGTTATACTTTTTAGGGACCTTTTGATGGGATATTAGGCTTTAGTCAGGGATCAGCTCTTGTGGCACTTCTTTGTTGTCTTAAAATTCTAAATGGTATTTATTATAATAAAGCGACAATTTTTGCATTGAATTAATGATATCTTTGTTTATTTAATGATTATTGAAGAATTCAATTACAATCTCAAGTTTGTTGTGATAATCGCTGGCTTTAAATCGCTTACAACAAGTCATTTGCAACTCTTTGATAAACTCAATGAACAACTCATTGATATTCCATCGCTTCATATAATCGGCGAAACGGATCAAGTGATTGATAAAACAAAAAGCGAACATAATAATCGGATAAAATTTCTGGGTAAATAACAGATGGTAAGCCCGCCTGTAAATCAAGGGAGAGTAAGTAGCTTATCTGTTTTTAAATTACTTAAGAAATTAGTTAAATAAATCTTTTTATTTAAAGTAATCTTTTAAAACAACATTTTTGCCATTCTTTTGGTCCATATCTCTGAATGTGTTGAGTATTGGTATCTTTTCCAACTGTTCACTCGTCAGAAGTGACCAAATAATGCCCTTTGGTTTGGGAAGACGTGGTTCGCAGCGAATCAGTTGAGTCGGAGTTGCGATCACATCGACGGTCAGGTCGTGTTCGCCAAACATATCGGTTGGCAAACTGTCGTAGAGCTGACAGTCGTGTACTGTTGTCATCACAAGTGTAGTCAACGGATCCACAGCACCCGTACTGACCAGCATTGCGTACTCCAGATCTGCATAACCCTCTCCTTTGCCGATCCGATAGCCTATTAAAGTAATTGAAAAATGTGTTCAAACGCCTGATTTTGAGTGCAAACAACTGTAGTGTGGATGCAATGGATACCCTGCTTAGAAACAGCTACCGATCCGACAATAATTAAGTCTATTTTTATTGTTGAATTCAATCCA